TTTTCGGCCCCTTTGATGTTTGCCGAATCCCCTCTATTAAATATGTTCTGACCGAGGAGCTAATCAATAGAAACGTTCTGGTTACTTGGTCATCATAGTGTATGGCGTAAAACAAAAAGAATTTGCACGGTGGTGGACCTTTCAACATAAATCTGGCCATCTTTTTTCGCTCCTTTGATGTTTACCGGGCTTTATAATCATGAAATGTGATGCTGGTTGCCTTTGAGGTACCAAGAGTCATCTTTTCACACAAAGGCTGAAATTACCCCAGTTGGCATTTAAGTTCTGGAGAATTTTAAAACAATGGCAATTAACGAATCAACCGCAAACTTGTTTGTTACTTAAAATAGTACCATAAAATTACTACTCAATCCTGACGTCAAACGACGTCAAGATACATTGTAAACTACTTACGTTGTAATCATAACACCAATATAACAAATTGATACGCTTTGTTCTATGTTTCTTGTGTGACTTATTTCTTTACATGATTTATATAAACCACCTTACTTTATAGTACTGAAAATCTTTACAAAACTTGGTGCTCGTATTCCAAAACTAAGTAACTAAATAAACTAATAAACAAAACGGGTTAAGAACTTTGTACAGTAATATCAAAAACTGAATAGACTCCCACTTGAAATTTCAAAAATCTTGAAAAATGAATAAAAATTTGCGCGACATTATCATTTAAACTATAGATAAAAGATTCAAGAGAACCTCGCTTGATTTCTGACTGTCCGGCGAGATGCAAAGTGTGCAAACGGCGTGATGTCCTGGTGACGAATTATTTCCACGCAATATGTCCGCGATCTTTGTATGTAAACTCTTGGACTTCTGCGAAATGTCCTGAATAAAGCGTGGTATTTGAATTGAGTAGGCGCTCTCTCCTGAATAGCTTCAATAAACCCTTGCCAAGCTTTGTTAGTTCCATGAGATGATTGTGGATAAGGGCGATGTAGTAAGTTCACTACAGCTACTGGGAAAAACATCAGCGCTTGTCCGCGAAATTTCAACTCAACGACTGAGGCAACATACTTATCTGTGAGCCACCAGTTGCGTTCTTCGTGGCTGATTTCCATCGGAAATATATGGCTTACTGCCTTGGCGTGGAACGCATTAAACAGAGGGTCGAATAATATGGTGGGATTTGCAAGCGTGGTTTTTTTATCAACCCTTTTATTGCAAACCCGTCGCATTCTTGAACGGAGCGTACTTGATCCATCATGTCCTTCGTAATCACCTACGCCTACAGCGGGCTCGTAATCCAGAAGCCAGTCTTGAAAAACGCTGATTGGAGTGAGTCGCTTCATTTCTGGAGTTGCTGCCTCGCTGAACTTCAGAGTGATGTCATCATCGAGGAAGATATAATAGAGGTAGTCAAGTCTTCTTTGCACTGCTTGGAAATAAAGCTGATTTCGACCGGAACCCCAGGTTGTTTCATTGCCAAACAAGTACGTGATGTGTGGTGCGCTCTTTTCTCGGCATTCAGTTTTATAACTCAAAACGATGACATCGCAACGACATTTCGAAGCATCGCTTAATTCCAGAGTTTGGATTAGACTTGGTGTAAGGCATTGCTCAGTTTGCGTGAGATAAATAAAAGGTGGCGAGACCTTACTTTTCATTGTGTATTCCGTGATATTCACAACATGAGAGTTTCTCGAGCCGGTGGTCTCTCTGATTTGGTCGTCTTGTACGTTCACTAACAAGTAGGAAGTAACAAACACACAGGTAAAAATGGCTGAAAACTTCCTGAGCGTTTGTCTCTTGTTGCAACAAGAGACAAACGCTCAGGAAGTTTTCAGTTTGGTTAGCATTCTAAAGGTTTCTCTCAATGCTTCGTGTCTCTGACAGAAGTTTGAAAATCTTCCTGTATCCAGCCCTTTAAGTTAGCGGTAAGCTGCAAAATATATTGACATATTCCTCTTGAACCAATGATGTGTGATACGAAGGTCAATGCAAACCGGACTTCTTATCCAAAGGCAAAATGTGATATAGTATACAGCATCGACAACTATTGAAGAAAAAACAATTCGATTTCCCTTCAAAACAAATAACTCACTCCAAACACAACAGCAATATCCTTAAGGATCGCAAAAGGTGAACCGAGGAGAAGCCACTTTGCGTCACAAAATCTATTTTCCGCTGTCAATTCCTGATATAAAGGCTTAATACGTCACAATCACGTACGCAGTGGAATTCATTGGTTATACGGCTCAAAGTCGTTCCAAATTTACCTCTTTGAATACTGAGAGGAAATGGAATTGGTCATAAATAGGGTATCGATTTTGGTCACTTTGGTTTCAAAAAGGGTATGGTTTTTGCACTTTTGTCTTGAATTCGTTTTTTTTTTTTTTCAGAAGCTTCTTTTTCATCATTATCAATAAAACCATTAACAAAAGCCCTTCACAATGACTTTGACATCTGTCTAAACTAGGTAACTAATTACGATACAGGTATGAAACAGGGTATCAAGGTTTTGGTCAGGTCATAAATAGGGTAGGAAAAATCACAGATTTTTGTCTTAAATAGGGTAAGGGTTTTGGGAAGCGGGCCGCACACCCTCACCCGATTTTTCTGGGAGAAACCCCCTTCCCGTGGGACTGAGTCATGATAAGTCGCTGGTGGGCATTTTTGTGACCTTTACTTCCTTCTCCGTTGCTGTGAACTGATCACGCAAACTATTAATTATAAAAAAGAATTCATTGAACTATTTTATAGTTAAGTAGCCATTTTTTCCTTGTCCGTTAGTAATACCATGATGTTTGTTTGCGTAAGAGTTGCCAATACCGGCCTACTCGTAAAAATAGACAATTTTTGTAAGTCAAATACCGATCGATTGTGTAAATCGCTGGTGACGTCACTTTCCTGCGGTTATTCGTAGGCTTGTGTTCGGTTTTTAGCAACTTTTCCGAAATTGCTTCTTGGTATATCTCAGTTTTGTGGAGTCTATATTGTTGGTTAGCTTGAGTGGGTGTTGTTTATGTCTTTTAAGCCTTTGTTTGACGTCATTTGATGATGATCGCAATAAACTTCGCAACACTGAGAAACTCGATGGAAGCTGCCAAACGATTTTTTAAATTACTCCACTGATCTATGGGTGCTCACAATGTTCTTGTTGAAAGACTAAACTACCACCCGATTCACACAAAAATTGACCAAAATATTAAAGTTTCTGTTAACTAAATTGGCAAATCCATATCCTAAACTT